AGAATAGAAAATATGGACTAGAATAGAATATAGAAAATATGGACTAGAATAGAATAGAATAGAAAATATGGACTAGAATAGAATAGAATAGAATAGAAAATATGGACTAGAATAGAATATAGAAAATATGGACTAGAATAGAATAGAATAGAAAATATGGACTAGAATAGAATAGAAAATATGGACTAGAATAGAATAGAATAGAATAGAATAGAAAATATGGACTAGAATAGAATAGAATAGAAAATATGGACTAGAATAGAATAGAAAATATGGACTAGAATAGAATAGAAAATATGGACTAGAATAGAATAGAAAATATGGACTAGAATAGAATAGAAAATATGGACTAGAATAGAATAGAATAGAATAGAAAATATGGAATAGAATAGAATAGAATAGAAAATATGGAATAGAATAGAATATAGAATAGAATAGAATAGAATAGAACAGAACAGAACTTTGGAGGTCTTCTAGTCCAGCCCTCAGCTCAAACAGGAGAACCTATACCATTTCAGACAAGTGACTGTCTAGCCTCTTCTTAAAAATCTCCAGTGATGGAGCACCCACGATTTCTGAAGGCAACTTCTGTTCCACTGGTTGATTGTCCTCACTGTCAGGAAGTTTCTCTTTAATTCCAGGTTGCTTCTCTTTTTTTAGTTCTATTTTAGAATATCTGGGTACATCTGTGGGTTGTTGCCGTTGTTCAGTTACTGAGCCGTGTCCAAATGCTCGCGGCCCTATGGAGCATGCCCACCCACCCCCATCCTCCATTTTGGTCTTCTGGACTCTGCCCAAACTCACCTTCACTGCGCCAATGATACCAACTTAACTATTTCATCTTCTGCCATCCCCTTCCACCTTTTGCCTTATCTGTGTACAAGTTGCTTCAAAATGGGCAGAAGCAGAACCGCCCGCTTCCAACCGTTGTGTTGCTAAAAGTCATGGGAGGGGCTCATGCCCCCCCCAAAAAAACATGAGGAACCACAACTCAATCCCCTCTGGATCTAAACACACCCCAGACGGCCTCCTGTTTTGTTTTATTTTATTTGTAACCCCGCTTTTACTTATTTCTCTGCCTTTGATTTCTTAATAAAAGTATTCCCTCAGAAGCTGCACAGCTGTATCGCCACCCATCCCTACCCTGCCCCACCCACGCTGAAGTTCAAGCTCCTTCTGTTGTTGTTGTTGTTGTTGTTGCCCAGTGTTTTTAGACTGAAAATAGAGCCTGGCTTTTTCAAAGCTTGTCATAGAACTGACAGGCTACAGGAAAGGAAGGAAGGTTTGTTTTTCTGAGTCATTAGGACAATGGAAAGAGCGGATGGCCAAGAGGGCAGGACTTAAGGTGAACTGTCTTCAGGGTCATGCCTTGGCTCTGGTTTCTCAAAAAGAAAAAGAGGGACCTTGGTGGGCTCCTCCCTCAGGAGGGAGAGAAAAGCAAAGGAAGATTAAACAGGAGAGCAGCTCAAGGAGGCTGTGGGTTCCTGGAAAGGCATGACGAAGGAGATGGTGTTAGACTTCCGGAGGAAAAGAGAGGAACCTGCCCCACTTTCCATCGAAGGGGGCTGTGTGGAGAGAGTTTCCTCCTCCAAATTCCTGGGAGTCTACCTCTGTGAAGATCTTACCTGGAAAACTAATACAGCCCAGGTGGCCAGAAAGACCCAACAGAGACTCCACTTCCTCAGGGTCTTGCAAAAGAACAGGGTAGAACGACGACTCATGACCTTCTTCTACCGGTCTACTATTGAAAGCGTCCTCACACACTGTATTGTGGTTTGGTATGCTGGCTTGACAGCCGCGGACAGGAAGGTATTACAGAGGGTGGTGAGCACGGCACAAGACATCGTGGGCTGTTCCCTGACGCCACTGGCTGACATCGCCACGGCCCGTTGACTTGGCAGAGTGAGGAAAATTCTCAGGGATGACTCACCACCCTGGTTGGTACCTCTTTACTCTCCTACCATCGGGCGGGAGATACAGAAACATAGCCAGCTGTACCAACAGGCTGAAGAACAGCTTTTATCCATGGGCTGTCAGGCTCTTGAACGGGACATAATAATTTCATGCATGACAGACCCGTGAGGCCGGCGTGCTGTGCAATTAGCTCACAGGGTGTAATAAGTTGGTGGGTTTGTAGTCACTGTGTGTTGTGGTGGTGGGGGGCACGGAGGGAGGCTCAGCCAGTCTCACTGTATACATGTTATACTTTGATAATAAAGGTTCGTTCAATCATTCATTCATTCATTCATTCATTCATTCATTCATTCATTCATTCATTCATTCATTCAGGAAGATCCAGCCAGCTAGCTGAGAAATTCGGGCAGAACAGTCTCAGAAAGCTCAAAAGGAGCAGATCCCCCAGAGACCAGGGTATAAAGGCCTATTTATTGCAGAGGTAGGAAAGTGAGCCCCAGAGCAGGTAACCGACACGAGGCTTTAAGCACACAGCAAGCATCAAACACAAAGACCTCTTTATATACTTAAAAATGGGCACAGTCCTTTGTGCCTTTGAAGATAGCTTTAGAACAGCTGCTGCCAAGAAAAAGGCAGATGAAAAACGGGTATCTAAATATCAGAAGAGTCTTAACTTGCTCCAGGGAGCCCAATCTAGCAAAAGACAAAGTGTGGGACTGGTTACAGTGAATGGTCCCCGCAGTAAGCTAGGAAGGCCCAGAAGAGGGATTTCATGCTGGCGGTGGTTGTAAAAAAGCACCGGAGAAGCAACGGCATCTGGCAATAATGAAGAGCTAAATTAGGCAACCAAGAAACAAACCCCGGTGGTGGCAGCAAGCCGCAGGGGTTGTGAGGATGGAGGTAGACTCTCCTCCAGGCTGCCTCTGAGTTGACAATAGGTTGCTTTATTTCATAGCTTTGGTCAGCCGAGGGGAGAGAAAATTTAATGCTTGCATTGGTATCAAACGCCATTTCATAAAGTCTGGGCAGTTGTGTTAAATTGTTTATTCCTATTGTTTATTTTGTTGGTTGGCTTGTTTTGTAGTTTGGACTTACTGTAGGATCTGTCCCTCATGGGAGAATTTGGGGAAAGAAGGCAGCCAATAAAGGTTTCTCTGATTTTGGTTGAAAAAAATGAAATTCCTGAGTCATTCTTCATGCAAGTATCCACTTACTCTCCTTCCTTTTGTTTATAGTAGATTGTTCAACTAGGGCGGGGGTAGGCAGCCTTGGCTCTTTTATGACTCATGGACTTCAACTCCCAGAATTCCTGAGCCAACATGGCTCAGCTTGGAAACCTCTCCCTTTCCCCTCAGCATGGCTGGCTCAGGAATTCTGGGAGTTGAAGTCCACGAGTCATAAAAGAGCCAAGGTTGCCTACCCCTGGACTAGGGTTTAAAATTTTTAAGCTTTGCTGGATATCTTCGCAAGATTTACACGCTCAAAACAACAACAACAAAATGTTGCTCTTTTGCAGAATGATGAAAACATGTCACTGCACAACATCACACTCCCAATGCCATCAAGTCCAGAACAGCTGGAACCCGAACCAATGTATAAGGTAAAGTGGCAGTCGACATTTTGAAGACGAGACCTTAGAATGGAATTGTCCAGGATTTTGGAGAGTTTTAATTTTGCTAGGAAAATCACATCAGACGGACCCCAGATATAGAGGGTATAATCTACACTGTTTATACTGTACGTCTTACTTAAATAATTCCAAGATGAATGTTTTTCTCATTACTAAATTATTTTTTTCAGGGTTGGGATGCTCGTACTACCATGTTAAGTCCCCAGAATATATTAGGCACTTAAATAAAACTGTTTTGAAAGAAGCCGTTTAGAGACATAGAATTTAAGACAGTAACGTAGAACAGGAACACAGGCTAATTGAAATAAATTAGCTGACAAAATTATTTAAAAACCAGACAAGATATAATAGAACAGACCTTTCTAAGTAATACTTTTAAACATGTGAAGTGGGAGAAAAGAAAACACACCAGAAGGCCTTTAAAAGTTAGATCAAAACATGAATATAAACAATTTAGTAGAATTGAGCGGGGAAAATGTCCAATGATTTAATTAATAATAAAACTGCAAATGTCTGAGCTATGATCTATGAAGATTGATAATTGATAAATGAAGATTGTACATAAGCAGTCCCTAACTTACGTAACATTCCATTTTGGAAAGTATTGCAAAGTTTTTCAGAATAAATTGAGGTACGCTTCCTACATTTTTGGATGTGTGGTGTAAGTGTTCGTATTTATTGTGTAGCTGTTAGATGTGGCATCAAAAAAATGGCATAACTTTATTTTTATGTAAGTCTGGTAATACATGGACTGCCTGAATGATGGTAGCACTGGTAGAAAGTTCACTACACATACCAGTTATTTTGTGAATGGCAGGTATTAGAAAAATAATAAGGCTTCCAGTCTTTTTAACTTTATTTCTCCTCCTAAACAAATGCCTGTACCTGGGTCCAAAACTATACATATCTGTCTTNATGGCTGAGGTCTCCCAGCGAGATGGACGGCAAACACATTTAATAAATAAGAGAAATATGAGGGTTTAGCTACCAATAATATCTGAAGTCTGTATCATTCTTAAACATTTGGTAATGTGAAACCCATTACTGAGTCCTGATTTCAAAGCCGTACTTTTTCCTTCCGCAACAGATTAGACGTAATTAGACCTTATAATATTTCTCGAAACACATTAATACTTTTTTTTCCACGCTAGACTGACGAATTATTAAGCGAGATCACACAGCTGAAGGATGATTTGAAAACGAAAGACGAGACCATCCAACAGCTTGAACGTCGTCTTGTAAGTAATCACGCCGCGCGTGAAAAGAAATTTGAGCAAAATAACGGCAGACAATGGTTGTGCCCCTGAGCTGCATGACGGTTTAAGAAAGGAGCGTTTAAATTTCTCTTGGGAAGGCAGGTCTACTCTTACTGGATCTGTTTAATCTGAATTTGTACCTACACTGCCTCTTGACCGAAGCTGGCTTTGGATCTCCCCCTCCTGTGAGGTGGCCTCCGTGGCTATTCTTGGTTTTCACCGGGTTTTCTCTCTCCTTTCTGCCTAAAGGCTGTTAGGTGTGGCTGCCACGAAGGCAGCAAGACACCTGAAGCGACCACGGGCCGCTTTGCTGACAAATTCACCCAGACCACCTGGCGAAGAAGCGCGGTGAGTCATTCCTTGGAAAAGATGCTTTTTGCGTAGAGATGCTTCCTCACGTATTTGTCTTGGCATTTTACTTTCAGTCGTATTATTTGCTGTCGTACGTCAATATACAGGTTGTCCTCGACTTAAAACTATTCATTTAGTGACTGTCCAGAGTTGCCACAGTAGTGAAAAAAAGGGACTTACGGCGGACCCAGTCGGTCCCCACACTTGTGGCCGTCGCAGCCTTCCCCACGGTCACATGATCAAAATGAGGGCCAGTGGCAACCGGCCTGTATTTATGACGTTTGTAGCATCCCTGGATCGTGCGATCCCCATTTGTGACCTCAGCTGGTTTCTGAGGTCACAAATGGTGTGAGAGTCAGTTGGGGAAGCCAGATTTATTAACAATACACTCCACAATTGTGGGGTTTGTGTGGCAAAACCCCAGTAGAAATGGATGTCACTCGCTTAACATCTGCCTTGCTCAGAAATGAATGCTTTTTCTGGTCGTAAATTGAGAACTATCTGCACTCCATCATTGTTCTAAGTGTGTATACTTTATAGTGACAATATCACTATCACTTCTTTTTTTATAATCTTTGTAAGAAACATTTATAGTCTTTAAGGCTTACAGTTCTAGGCTTGCCTCCTTCATCCTATTTTAGGCACCGCATTCAAAAAGCGGGTATTATATTTCCTAATCTTGTGGATTAGTCCACATGGCATATACCCCCCAAAAATCTGGACTGATCTCTGAAGAAACGGGGGGCAATTCTGAATATGCCTTGTAACCCTGTCAGATTTAACACATTTTTTTCTAAAGTAATGGGAACAGTTTACCACAACACACACACATTTCCTCAATAACATTATTTTTTTACCATGACTATTTGGAAACCCCTACTTTTAGTATTAAGTTTTCTTTGTGGTTCTGGAATTTTTAAAAAAATACTGTATTATACTATAAACCCCTACTCTGTTTTTCATTTTTAGTAATTGTGCTTCTATATAAGATATAGACCAGAGGTCCCCAACCCCTGGTCTGTGGACCGGTACCGCGCCACGGCATGTCAGCAACCGGACCACACAAACAAGCAAAGCCCCATCCGTGGGATGTATCAGGACACAAAACCACACACTCTCCAGTCCGTGGAAAAACCTTTCTCCACGGAACTGGTCCTTGGTGCCCTCTGATATAGACAATCTATAGCAGACATGTCAAACTCGCAACGTCATGTGACATCACACGGTGTATCGGATCTTTTTTCCCATTCCTAGCAATGGGATGGGCGCGGTTTCTTCGTGACGCATCCAGCCCGCGGGCCAGCAGTTTGACACCCCTGGTTTATAGCTAATTTACTGAAGATTTAAATGAAATGGATGTTGCATAAAATGCCAGGATAACAAATATCAGTGTAGTAAGTCAAATACAACTGTAGAACATGTTTGGAAAGTCATGCTAATTTTTTTTATCCCCCAAAAAGTGGATATGTTGAAAGTCAAATTTTTTTTACAAATGAATATACTAAATCTTTATGTGGGCAACTTGTGGAGATCTCTTTTTTTTTCCTGTTGCTTCTGGGAATTAGAAAAGAATGGGCTCATTTTTTCTTGAAGATTATTACAGAGATGGTAACAGTTGGTTTCCATCACAGAATCACCAAAACATAGTTCCACCCTATAACTTTCCAGAAAGAAAAAATGAATTCATCTTCCAGATCAACTTGAAAAGCCATTAGGTTTTTTTTCCCCCTCAGACTCTTAGCTTTTAAACATCCTTGTATTTCTGCATTCTTCCATTTTTGCCAGGAAATAGATGAAACAGGGCAGCAAGATAGATATCGTAGTCTATTTTTTTTCAAATAGATAAAATAAAAACATGAAAATGTATACAGCCAAATCTTTTCATTTCATTTTATTTTTTATTTATTAATTATATTCATATAATGTCATATACCGGGGTAGGCAACCTTGGCTCTTTTATGACTGGTGGACTTCAACTCCCAGAATTCCTGAGCCAGCATGGCTCAGCTTGGCAACCTCTCCCTTTCCCCTCAGCATGGCTGGCTCAGGAATTCTGGGAGTTGAAGTCCAGGAGTCAGAAAAGAGCCGAGGTTGCCTACCCCTGTCCTAAGTCCTCCTGTTCTAAGCGGTGAGCCTCCTAGACCAGGGGTAGGCAACCTTGGCTCTTTTATGACTGGTGGACTTCAACTCCCAGAATTCCTGAGCCAGCATGGCTCAGCTTAGAAACCTCTCCCTTTCCCCTCAGCATGGCTGGCTCAGGAATTCTGGGAGTTGAAGTCCATGAGTCATAAAAGAGCCAAGATTGCCTACCCCTGTCATATACCAATAACTATGCTTGGAGATTTACACAAAAAGTAGAATCCACTAAAAAAAGAATCAACAATATGCTTTTGAATATTGTTTTAAAGAAATTAAATGCACATATCTAGTTCCTGAAATAGAACTAAATATGCCTATTTAATTTATTTTAAACAATACACTCAGAATTTTCAAATACAGCCAAAGCTGTTGTTGCATCTGGTAGATAAATCTGGAGGGATTTAATTAATCCTATTCCAATGTGAAGTTGATTGAGTGCGGGCTGGATGGCATAATTTTTAGTTGGATGCATAGAAGCTTGACAAACATTTTCAACACATTTTCATATTGAAGGAAATATTGAGTGAGATAATATCAAGAATGGTCCGAGGCTGCTATTAACTATATTGAATGAAGACGTGAAGGGAAAAAAAGACTTGGCAAATTCAGAGATGGCAACAAGAAACAAACGTAAAATGATTTTGAAGAGTTAGGGAAATAACAACATTTAATCCGACAATTTTCAAGTTACTCTTTTTTAAAAAAGAAACAAACAAATTCATTAAGAGAAGATTCAGGAGAGATGGGGAAAGGATCTAAGAACTGTAATGATTATCAACTGAATGAGTCAGGAGTCTGATGTTTCGGGTGTTATTAGATTATACTTTCCAAAGTAGGAAGAAATAGAACTTCTCAAGTGCTGCGTCCAGTTCTGGACACTTCACCGTAAGAAGAGTTTAAATAAACAGGAAGGGGCGCACAAAAGATCAACCCAGAGAGTCAGCTCCTGGAAAGTAGATCTTACAAGGAGAGACTGATGGAGGTCGGTGAGCTTAGCCTTGTGGAGGCAGTTCAGATCCAACTCCTAAAGGGTTGTTAATCAGAAGAGGACCAGGAAGGGTCTACAGTGGTGTCATCATGCAAGACATGGAGAGAGGTTCTGCAGGTGTGTGCAGACTTATTTCAGTTGAAGGCCACAGAAATGTTCCTGATAATAAAAGCAGTTTAGTAATGGAAAGATGGAGATAGAGCGTAGGTAACTCTGGATGCACTCAAGTAGAAACAAATAACTGCATCTGAGTCTCTCTTAGAAGCCACTTAGAGAGTAACTATTCAAGCGTGGACAAAGATACAGCTGCTTTAATAATCCAAAGAAGGGACTCTGTTTGCTTTTGAAGGCCTTCTTTCAAAAGATTTGTATTCAGAGGGCTTGTCCTGCCTTCTTAACTCTGCGGTGGGGGTCCTCTATCAGAAATGGGGGGTGGCCAGGACGGAGGCATTCTTAGCCCTGGGGCCTTGCTGATAGAACTTTCTTCCATGAAAGTCCATTTTTAATTTTTCCCCCATATTTCTGAAGCTTATCAAGTTTGCTTGGATACATTGTTTTCCTTGATCTATGATTTACCGAAATGTTTTACATAAGTTTCCTTGGGATCTTCCCAGTGGGTGAACCACTTATTATGTAATTATTAGTTTCGTTCAAAATAACTAAAATCTCCGCAATTCCTTGCCCCATTTTTTTTTGGGGGGGGGGAATGTCCTTATTTTTTAGCTTCTGCATTAAGCTAACCATCTTTGGAAATCGTTAGAAAAAGATCCCGGCAATTTTTATCAAGCTGGTGGTGCGATATGTTAAAAACGGGAAGGGTGGTCCTTGACTTATAGCCATTCATTTAGTGGCTGTTGGCAGCTGCAGTGGTGCTGAAAAAAGTAACTTGCAGCCAGTCCTCCCACTTAGACCGTTGCAGCCTCCCCAGGGTCACACACTTGTGGCTTTGGGTGCTCGTTCCTTTGTGACAATCACAGTGTCCACGGTCACCAGCCACCATTTGCAAATAGCTTCCAACAGGCAAAGTCAATGGGGAGGCCAGCAGGGAAGGCCGCACGTCACAGTCGCTAAACGAGCCTGGTGATTCACTTAACAGCAGTGGCAAAAATGGTTGTAAAATCAGGTCCAGTTACACGACGCCTCATTTAACAACCACACCACTTAAATGACAGATTTTCCAGTCCCTATAGTCCTAACCCAGTGATGGCGAACCTTTTGGAGACCGAGTGCCCAAAACCCGTCCCCCCCATCCCCGCTCCGCCCTGCCCACTGGGCCACCCACCACTTCCACGGCCCGCCACAGATCACCCAGGCAGCCCAGCAGCCCAGGGCGGTCACGCCCTCCGCCCGTGCCCTGCAACATCATCTGCACGCAACGGGGCGCAAGGGCGGAGTCTTGTCCCCGCTGGCTGGCTACCATGTCCTTGGCTGCGCTGCTTCGCGTGGGCCACACCCAGGGGCAGCTCTCCTCCGGGAGGGGCTGCTGGTGTGGAGGGGGCCATGGGAGGAGGCGGGGCTGGGGAGACGGTGCGTGTGCCCACAGAGAGGGCTCCGAGTATCGCCTCTGGCACCCATGCCATAGGTTCGCCACCACTGTCCTGAGCACTCCTCCTGTTGAATGTCTTTTGTTTACGAAATATGTGCAGCCGGGCACCAAATTTTGATTTCTTTGCTTCCCTTCCAGCTCTCTTATGCGTAGGTAGGACCCTCGCGAGGCTCCGATAAAACTCAGAAGCAAAAATAAAATAAAATAAAAATGCAAAAATTCGGAAAAATCTGGAAGGGGTGAATTCTTTCATTTCCTCCGCAGAACTCTGCTTCTCGCGAGCTAATAGAATCGGGTCTCTGTCTGGAATAAAGAGAGCGGTCGAAGGACGCTGGGAAAATCCAGTGACTCATTTGGGATGGTTAGAATTGCAGCTATTTCTCGTTATGAGAAGAGGAACAATGTAGCTTTGGGTACTGTTTTTTCTCTCCCCCCCCCTTGGTTCTGTGTTTTATTTTTCTTTCTTCCCCGTCTCTTTCCGCACAGAGTGGGCTTTCTGGTCCTTCCTACTTTTCCTGGCAGGGCTCATGCCAGGGCATCCCTCGGACTCTTCCACCGCAGCGCAGACAGAGTGAGTCTGTACTCCTCACTCACCTCCCTCGCTACCCCCCATCCCCCCCACCCCTTGCTCCACTAGCAGTTTCCCCCTTGCACGGACTTCTTCCCGTTGCTCAGCTCTCTTTTGCTCTCCCTTGCAAGCACACCGGGCAATCCCTAACCCCTCTCTCTGCCTCCTTCACTTACACTTTGGTGTACATTCAAAGTGACAATAAAGTTGTTATTATAAAACTGCCATTGACGACCGGATGGAAAACAGTTTTATAA